CACAGGAGGCTAAAGAAGAGGAAATAAATTTTGTAGAAGAAGAACCTCAGGAAGCACCCTCTCTGATGATAATAGAAACCTGTGAATTGACAAAATCATAAGTGTCAGTGCAGAACATAGCAAAAAGTAGCAAAGAGATGGATGAAGATCACAAGGTGTGGTGGTACCTAGACACAGGGGCAAGCAACCATATGACCGGGAACAAATCTTATTTCACAAGCCTTGACTCATCAGTACAAGGAAAAGTAAGGTTTGGAGACAATTCAATGGTGGATATCACAGGACAAGGCACAATTGAGTTTGAATGTAAATCAGGTAAGCACATGACACTACCAAATGTGTATTACATTCCAAGACTTAAAAGCAATATTATAAGTCTTGGGCAATTGGATGAACTGGGAGGACAAGTGCTCCTTAAAGGAGGCACTCTGAAGGTCTTGGATAAAGACAGCAAGCTCATTTTCAAGGTGGACAGAAGACAAAACAAGTTATTCATGGTGTGCTTAAAAGTAGCTCAAAAGAGTTGTCTGTTGAGTAAAGTAAGGAGCACTGACCTACTTTGGCATGCTAGATATGGGCATTTGAACTTCCAAGCACTGAACAAGATGTCAAACAACTCATTGGTGGAGGGAATGCCTAAGATAGGTCAGATAAGTCACATTTGTGAAGGGTGCATGATGGGCAAGCAACACAGGACATCCTTTCCACAGAAGTCATCATACAAAGCACAAGGAAAGCTAGAGCTAGTCCATTGTGACCTGTGTGGTCCTATAACTCCATCAACATCAGGAGGGTCAAACTGTAGGCAGATACAAGATTTCAAACTCAAGATGATGAAGATATTTGAGATGAGTGATCTGGGTCTGCTCAGTTATTATGTGGGACTTGAAGTCAAGCAAGAAGAAGGAGTTACAAGCTTGAATCAGTCAAGCTATGCCAAAAGAATACTTGAGCAGATGGGGATGGGAGATTGTAATCCCTGTAGCATACCTATGGAGCCCAGGAGCAAGCTGAGTAAATTTGATGAAGGTATGCTAGTAGATGCTACATTGTATAGAAGTGTAGTAGGGAGTTTGAGGTATTTGGTTAATACTCGTCCTGATATGGCATACTCAGTGGGAATGGTGAGTAGGTATATGGAGGTTCCAACTCAAAATCATATGAATGCAGTGAAACAAATCTTGAGATACATTAAGGGTACTTATGATATGGGCTGTGTGTTCAAGTATGGTGAAGAAGATAATGTGCTAGTTGGATATTGTGATAGTGACTTGGCAGGTGATGTAGATGACAGAAAGAGCACCACAAGAATCTTATTTTTCTTAGGAGGAAGCCCTATAACATGGGTGTCACAAAAACAAAAGGTAGTGGCACCTTCCTCATGTGAGGCAGAGTATATGGCTGCCACAGGAGGTGCTTGTCAGGGGATATGGCTCATGAAGTTGCTGGACAGTTTGAGAAGAAAAATCAAAGAGAAACCACTACTGAAAATAGATAACAAGTCAGCCATAGCATTGGCCAACAATCTTGTGCATCATGAACGAAGCAAACATATCGATACGAAGTTTCACTTTATACGAGAGTGTATAGAGAAGGGAATCATAGGCATTGAGCATGTGAGAACTGAAGGGCAGCTAGCTGATATATTAACAAAACCACTTGGGAGGCAAAGATTCACCGAGCTCAGGACAAAGATAGGGATCCAACACATCAAGATGGGGAAACAAGTTTAAGGGGGAGAATGTTACATATTAAACTTGTTAGCTAATATGGTTATTATCTTTTGTTTTTTTTATTTATTTGTTTTCCTTTATGTTGATGTACTTTGTGGGTGTACGTGTGCTAGAAAGTGGGGAGGTTTTTTCATCCACTTAATCTAACCAACTTCCCCTTTCATTTTGATATAAAATGAATGACTTGGGCGTAGGTGAAGATTAAGACGGTTTTTCCTTCTCATTGAAGCATTCTACACATTATGAATGAATATATGAATACATTTTGATCTTCTCTTTTATGAATCAAAGTCAGTTGTACATCAGCGGCGGTGTTGTGCCAATTGAAATGGGTGGGCGAGGCAGTCTGACAAAGCATCAACTCAGGGTTTTGTAGCAGTTGTTATACCGTATGACCGGTATACGGTGAGCACCGTATACCGCATACGGTTTTTGGCAAGCACCGGATCTTTATTTTTTATTTCTCTTTTTTTTTTTAAAAAAAATGGTAATAACTTTTTTATTTTTTATCCAATTTTTATAAAATTTATACCAACATTTTTTATTTTTCATGATCTTTCAAATGAGACCAATATTGCCTATGTAATTTTAACCTATGTAAAATATGTAATTTTACGTGTAGAAATATGTAACTCACATCCAGTCAGGCCAAATGCAACTCGTGTGTATAAATATGTAAAATACAAGGAGTATAAATATGTATAAATAAGTAACATTGTAAATAAATTTAATAGTGAGACTTTTTAAAATCAAGGAGTTGACGAAGCGTGAGCAAATTTCTCAACTCGCTCGAGCGCGATGCATGCAGAAATAATCAGCACTATAGACATTAGAAATTGCTCCCATTCAGCACTCTGTATAATATAATGGTACTACTCACTTGTTTTAATTTCAGACTGTATTATTTCACTAATTAACAGGGGCATGGATGATCCTTGTCCATTTCAATCAACGTAATACAAAAGCAGTAAACTGTCTCTCCTCATTAACACATGAAGTGATACTAACGAATCAAGTTTCAAGAAAAAGCTTTAAGATGCATCAAAGCAACAATCTAAATAGCCAATGAATATATATGACCTATGTAACTTTACTTAAAAAAATATGTAACTCGCGTTCAGACAAGTCAAATGCAACTCGTGTATATAAATATGTAACTCGCGTGTATAAATATGCAACTTTATGTGTAAAAATATGTAACTCTACGTGTAAATATATGTAACTCGCGTTCAGGCAAGTCAAATGCAACTCGTGTGTATATATATGTAACTCGCGTGTAGAAATATGTAACTTTACGTGTAAAAATATGTAACTTCACATATAAAAATATGTAACTCACATGTATAAATACCTAATACAATAAAATTTTTACATATACAATTTTAAGATAATTTGTGATTTACACAATTATTTTTCTGTATTAAATTTAGTTTGGTTTTCCTTATAATCCAATACACATTAATATAATAGTTTGATAATTTCTTAAAATTACATAAGCAATATTGGACTCATTTGAAAGATCATGAAAAATAAAAAATGTTGATATAAATTTTATAAAAATCGGATCAAAAATAAAAAAGTTATTACCATTTTTAAAAACAAAAGGATAAAAAATAAAGAAACCAGGCCTCAATACTCCGTCGTTTTGCGACCGGGAGCACCATCCTCATGGTGCGCCAGTTGCAGGATATAATTTGCGATTTTGTAGCCAAAACAGATAACGATTCGGTTTCTGAAAGCCCATTTACTTGAGTTGTTTTTACGGCCCATTAGGAAAAAAAAGGTAGAGAAAAATATGAAACAAATGTTCAAACTTCAAAGTAGTGATGTTTTTACGGAGGGTTCGGATTTCTCTCTAGGTTTTGGCTTTATCGATGCCGCCTAGTGTAGCTTTTGTTGTCCCGATTTTCATCTCAGCCATTGCTTTAGGTTGGAACGGGATCGGCGGTGGGTGCTGGTGTCTCGGAGGACTTCGAAAACTGCAGCGACGGGTCAATTCTTTTGCTTGACTGTTTCGCTTCGTCTTTTGGGTCGAGCGAGGGTTTTTCGCAGGGACGCAACTTTGCAGACGGATTTTACACGTCGAAGCGGGAAGGGAGATGAAAGTTGTACACAACTGGGCAGCGGAGAATAAAACAATTAACCGCGGTCTTGCTATAAGAGGGGGACGCGGAGGAATGAACGAGCTTCGAGTATGCCGGATTTTGATCGTCAATGGAGAATCAATTGGTGTGGTACCGATGGTACGGCCCCCTCCAGAACCACCGCCAAGGGTTGATCTCTGGCGGCGGCAGGGGTGTTATTTAGTTTGTTTTGTTTACTTTTCCAACAATTGTTACTTTTTCTTTGGTGTGTGTTTCTTTGTTTTTGTTTTTATTCCAGTTTGTAAGACGTTGATATTGGATGTGGGGGATGAGAGGAATTTGGTAACCGTGTTAGGCTTTTTGTTTCCCGGTTATGGATCAGCGAATTATATTGCGACGACGATTAATTCTGAGTTTGGTTCGAGGGATGACGATTATCAGTTTTCTTTTTGTCAGTTGACTCATACTCTGATCTATTATTGGTTATTTATCTAAGCCGTTTTCAGTAAAAAAACTTCAAAGTAGTGATATACTACGTAAGATGTATGTACTTGGATTGGTTTCAGTTTCACAACAGATCATATCAGATCAGAAGAGATCAGATTTCGACAGTTATAAAATACGTATAAAGCAGACATCTACCAAATAAAACTAGACTAAATAGATTCGATTAGACCAGACTAGAAAATTTCAAACCAATTAAACTATTCTTAATTGGTAAATAACTAGTTCCCTGATTAAAGTGCTTCCTTGTTGGAGTATACGTGTATAACATATCTCAAGATCCTGTCTATTGTCTTTGTTTTATTTTTTCAACCTCAAAATAGAGAAACAATTAGGAGGATAAATGCTAGTTAAGAAATGATTTAATTCATGTAAATAAAATTGAGACGAATGTTCATGTTGGGAAGATGCTAGTGGGTACAAAGGGAAGATGCTAGTGAGTACAATCATGCTCGAATGAGGAGTGTTGTATTGGAACATAAGATATAGTTATACTATTATTATTAATATTACGTGTACATATTCTTATTTGTACTTATCATGTACTACAGTTGTACTACCTTAGCACTTATCTTATTCCGTATGATTAGCATGTACGTAGCTAGGTAGTTGTTAGGAGTTCTTATCCTACTGGCTCGAGTGATGTATATATATACTACCACAAGTGTACGTATTATATACGATCAATAATATACAATTCATATTTCTACATGGTATCAAGAGCCAATCTCTAAAGAGTAGTTTTTTTTTTCCTTGATTCTCTTCCGTCATGAACATCACTCCAACTACCACGGTGGTTCCCCTCACCGCCACCACCCATTTCCCCATCAAGCTCACCACATCTAACTTTCTGGTGTGGAAGTGTCAAGTCTACTCCGCCCTGGTTGGTCTCGGACTAGATGCCTATATCGATGGGACGATTCAAATACCGGAAAAATTCACCGACGATGCCAAAACCCAGATCAATCCGTGCTACACCATCTGGTTCCGCCAAGATAAAACTATTCTTAGCGCCCTTCTCGGGAGCTGCTCCGACACCATTCAGCCAGTCATATCTTCGGCTACATCTGCTCGCAACGCGTGGGATAAGCTTAAGCTTACCTATGCCAGTACATCCACTACAAGAAAATAAGGTTTTTAGCCACACATGTAAATGTAGGTAAAACTATAATTATGTGTGGGAAATTCGTTTTACCCACACAAATGATAAGTGTAGAGATGTGTGGGTATAAGAGCGTAGGGAAAAATTATCACCCACACATGCAATTATGTGTGGGTAATCGTATTATTTTTACCAACACATGCATGTGTAAGTAATATTCTACTATATGTGTCGCTATTGATCCAAACAATGACATGGCATTCCATGTGGATGTTGACATGGCTGATGAGTTGGCATGTGATGTGGCATATGGATGATGACGTACATGATGACGTGGCATATGAGTTGGATGTTTTCATGAAAAGCACTGCCACGTGGAAGTGTTAATGTGTGGCTAAAAATTACAAGTATGTGTAGCTATTAGTACGTAACTATGTATTCATAAAATCAATTTTTTTTATATCAAATTAAATACCTACTATTGAATAATATCTATACAGAGCTACTCCATATAATAACAAAACATTATATAACTACGATTAAATTAATGCAAGAAACATTCTCAAATTTGCAATACATACAAATATATTTAAGTCCAATATTACTCTTTAATTTCAATAACAAACTAACACAGATACTTCAAACGAAGTATAACTCATTCGATCACAAGTCTTAGCAATTAACCACTGAAAATGTGTATTACATCTATGCCAATGCACTATTACTCCATATCATGTTGATAAGTTGAATCCTCATAAATATCATAATTCAGTTCTTGATCCACAGAAGATGAGCCACGATTCAATTCTTGATCCATAGAAGATGAGCCACAATTGAGTGTTCAGAATACAATGACCTGAAAGACATTCAAATATTTCAAATGAGATCATATAATATTAATAGGGCTTTTTGGTTCATTAAACATAAAATTACCCATAGTAGATTCAGATATGATATGAATGTACTATTCAGTGCTTTTCATTATTCATACAAAATATAATAATGCTAAATTCCTAAGAAAATTTGAATAGTTTTTGGGAATAAAAAATGAGGTAAGTATTTCTATTGCAATACCTATCTTAGCTTCTGAGATGTCATTCCTTAAAAATATCGTAGTCCTACAAAATGAGCATACACCGTTTAGAATTAAGATATCAAATGACAATGTCAAATATTTGCTCAAATTTATGTTGAGGTTTAATGGTTAATCAAACTTACATACCTCCGTACTATGAAAAAATCTAAGGAGGAGTCACCAGCGATTCCAACTACAACATAATCAGCAAATTAAGACCCATGTTATATTTTACAAATCAGATAGTTCAATTGCTAGAAATCAGCAGGACTCGCATAAAAATAAAGAATACCTTCACGTTTACATAATTTTTTGTAAGCATTTCTCAAGATCGAGGAGATTCCACTTAAAATGGAAGTAAATAAAATCACTTAGAGAGTATCATAAACTGGCATACTAAAAGTAGGCAAGAATGGACCTGATTGACTTGATCAAGTTTGCTGATAATATTAAAACAAGTGCCAGGAAACTCATCCTAGAGACCTAGAAGCTGCTCAATTGTTGCATCCTAAAATGACGAGTATAAAACATAGTCTTGGACAACTTAAAGAGTGTAAAACTTATAATAAATAGTTACAACTAAAAAAAACGCACAAGTCCATATTAATAAAAACGTCTACTACCTACTTTAAGAGTTATAGTAAAAGTCTAAATTATTATTTCAATTTAGTCACTATCCATTCACTCATTGAGTATTAGTACTTAATAGTTAAGTTTATCTACATTAAGAAATGTAAACAAAATAATAAGATACGTAAAAATAAGCAAATAATTACAAACTTACAATAAGGTATACCACCGATCTATCATACTTATCCAATTATTTTTAATTATAGACTATTCTCTATGTCTAATGTCTTTATTAGAGTGATTTGCCTACTGTTACTATCTACACGGCTACACAGCTAACACAAGACCACAAGTAATTAAACAAAGTGTAAAAAATAAAACAATGAGGCCCAAAATCAAATAAAGCAATTAAAAAGAACTTACCGGGATGTCGACACAGTAACTCGCAAGAGCCGAATAGGCAGATAGCAAAGGAAGAATCATCAATCCTAAATCAGTTTTTTTTTTCAAATCTTCAATCGACCCAATTGTTCCATGAGTTCAGTCATTCTCGCTTCAGACTTTCAACAATTTAGCTCTAAAACCCAAAAGTTGAAAAACAATTATGATATATGACTCATTGAACTCTACATTGTCATTTTACTTATACATATTAGTATATTACAGAGAGCCTCTTTAGGAAAAGAGAGAGATAAGCCACTTAATACAAAATAAAAATCGATAACTCTTCTGGAAATTAGGGCATACCGGCCAAGAACGGAAACTGAACTGTCTTCCCTATGTCTTATGTAGGCTGAGATTTAGAAATAATTACATAAATATGACAAAAATAAAGATGATTTACAAAAATATGATTAGTTACTAGAGTAGTAATGAAATCATAGTAATTCATGTTCAAGTTTTGAACTTAAGTTACTACAACACTATGTTGTAGTAATGAATAGTCATATTTATGTAAATAACTTTTATTTTAGTAATATTCTTATAAAAAACCCTGAGATTTACCATTATTTCAGAGACTATGGTTTGAATACAAAATACCAGGTGATGGCTTAACATTCGAAAAACCAAAATTTCAAAAAATGCCCGAACAGAGCATTTATAGCAACTCAGGGAAAAACATATTATGAGTACACTACTAATGATAGAAAAATCATATAGAAACACTAGTTTAGGGAAACATATTAGTGTTTTGGATTTCACATTTCGTTTATGTTCAGCTGATTTTTTTTAAGTTGACAATTTTGTTGGAACTTAAATTGTGAAACTAGTAAATATACCTGTTAAACTTTGAATTGAAGGGAGATATGATTTGTTTGTTTTTCGAACCTGCACAATATATAAAAAATATTATAGAAGCAACTAATACTGATGAAGTTACAAACAAGTTTTCAAAGTCATCTATTTAGCCACATGACTAAATAATTTAGTTTACTTTTGCTTATTCTATTCTAGTAGTGAGCACGCCATACACACACGCAAATTAATTTTGGTAATGTCAAAAATTCCCCATTTGGGACCTAAAAACGATTAAGACGTGCCTATAGAAAATTCAGTGTAGAAGAACGAGATAATGTATATCACAATAATGGGACATTGGTGCTGGATAGGCCTATGTATTGAATCAGATTTGAGATTTCACTGATATTGAAGGAATAACACAACATGTGATAATATAGGTTATCAATCGCCCTTTTTATTGACTTGATAGTCAATTGGACTATCGAGTGTGGACAATCCGAAATCAGACGGGGCTTGACAAATTGAGAGGGCGGCCGCTTGAGGACTGCGTAAGTGCAGAGTGCTATTTGCAGGCTGATGCAGCGGCGGTGCGGACTGGCAGACTATGGAGCGGCGGAGTGCGAAGGGTGTGGGGCTGCAATAATGTCACCAATTCGACTTTCCATCGACGTGGGATGGCTGTAGACTTAAGAAAAGAGTGACGTGTTCGTCCAATCGGGTCCAAGATTTGATCGAGAATGGGTATTGTACAATCGTGAATGGGCATTGAATAATACAAGATTTGATCGAGATTTTAAGAATGTAACGAGAAGAGTAATCGAAAGCGAAAGTATTGGACAATTTAATTCATAATAACTACAAATCGCAAGAATAAATACCTCTTATGGCCTTGAATAGCAGGATTACACTTCGATCTTCGGTCGACTAAAGAAAGCGAACCAGCTCCTCCCATCCCTTCATATGCCACATCACGAATTGTGATTATTCAGAGACTTCGGATTGGAGAAGTCGGCACTATGAAGGAGTATTAGGGTTTCTTAGTAATGGGAGAGATGGAAGCCGGGTGGGTTACGTGGGTAATCTAAAATGAAAAAATTCCACGTGGGAAGCCCGCCTAAAAAATCATTCCCGCGCGCCTACGTGAAAAAATAGAGGGAAATTTTCCCACAAAATATAAATGTGATAAAATCTTTTTACCCTCACATAATATGTGTCCCTTATTAAAACTGTGTCGGATTACTAATTACCTACACATATTTAAATTATGTGTAGCTAAATACCCACACATATTAAATGTAGTTATTTTATGTGTAGGTAAATCACTCATATTCTTGTAGTGATCCCGTGGCCGTATTATCTCTCTGAAGACCTCGCTTGCTCGCACTAAAAAGGGATCCCGATCTATTCAAGCCTATCTCACTGAAATGTATGCACTCTCCGAGGCGTTAGCGTTGGCCCAAAGTCCATTATCCGAGGAAGATCTTGTTATCAATATTCTCAATGGACTGGGCCCAGACTATAGCGAACTTACATCCGCCATCCGGGTTCGCGAAACTGCCTTGCCGCTTGAAGAACTCCAGGACATATTACTGGAGCATGAAGCACGTCTCCAGGAGAACATCAACTCTAGTGACAATATCATACCAACGGCCCATGTCACCCAACTAGGTGATCGACGCATCCCACATCCAGAACGTCGCTCACCCTCCAATAATGACCGACGTGGGTTCCCTACTCGCAGGGGGCGTGGACCTTCCTATGCTAGTCAGCCACGATCAAATGCAAATACGACTGTTTGTCGTTTTTGTGACCATATTGGTCATGACGTGCGCCAATGCAGAAAGCTCCAACGATTCCTAAGAGATAATCAAGTGCCCCATCCAGCATCTCTGGTTGTCAACCACACTGCCACAACTCCGGCTGGCCTCGATCAGCCTTGGCTCTTTGACAGTGGTGCCTCTCATCATGTCACCGCCAATGCTGCCAATCTGCCATCTTACAACGATTATGGTGGTCCTGAGGAAGTTCATCTTGGCAATGGTAAGACTCTACCCATTACCCATACTGGCCACTCCTCACTGCCCACGCACACCCGCTCCCTCTCTTTACCTAATATCCTATGTGTTCCCCAACTTCGAAAAAATTTAATTTCCGTTGCTAAATTATGTCACACTAACCATGTTTCTGTTGAATTTTTTTCAACACATTTTCTTGTTAAGGATCGAGCCACGGGGGTCCCACTAATGCGCGGGGAGAACATTAATGACGTTTACTATGCACCGGTTCCATGTTCACCACAAGTTCATGTCACACAAGTTTCAGTTTCACCGTCTTGGCATCATACATTGGGTCATCCGTCCAGTCGTGTTTTTTCTTCTTTAATTAGTCAAAAGAAAAATTCTTTTCCGTGTAATGTCTCCAATGATAATAATTGTACTTCATGTTATCTTAATAAAAGTACCAAATTACCATTCTTTAATAATTCTATGACTGCTACTCGTCCGCTAGAATTACTTTACTCTGACGTGTGGGGACCAACAGATATCTCTATTGATGGTCACAAATACTATCTTATTTTTGTTGACTACTATACGAGATATATTTGGTTCTATCCCATGAAACTAAAATCGGACGTTTCCCATATATTCCCTCAATTTCAAAGGTTGGTAGAAAAACAATTCCAGTTACCCATTATTGCTATTTTCTCCGATAATGGAGGAGAGTATATTAAACTTAAATTTTATCTCAACGCCCAAGGTATATCTCACTACACCACACCACCCCATACCCCTGAACACAATGGTGTAGCTGAACGCCGGCATCGTCATATTGTTGACACCGGTCTATCACTACTTCATTATTCTGGCTTACCCATAAAATTTTGGTCTTATGCATTCCACACTGCTGTCTACTTAATTAACCGTCTACCCACACCCACCCTTCAAAATAACTCACCATTCTATTCCCTATACAAACGTCACCCTAATTATACCAAATTACAACCGTTTGGGTGTCTATGCTTTCCTTGGCTTCGACCATATAATTCCTCCAAAACTCAGTTAAGGTCAGCCGCATGTATTTTCTTGGGTTACTCTTTGTCACAGTCCGGTTATCTCTGTTACGACTATACTACGAGTCGTCTTTATGTCTCTCGTCATGTACGATTTGTGCCTACCGTCTTTCCATATCGTTCCACGTCCATTATCCCGGCGGTGCATGAACCATGCAAAAGTTCGGTTATTAATATATCCCCTGCGCAACCCCCCATGCGAAATTCCCAAATAATCTTATCTCCACCGGCCATATCATCCAATCCGTATACTTTACCCAACAACCCACCTAATTCTCTAGTCCACACCTTACCCACCGAAACTTTAGCCAATAATTCTCCTCCCCAAATTACTCCAACCAACCCAGTCACCTATCACTCCTCTCCCCACACCGACCTACTTAATCCCCCTCCCCCTAATAATTCCCAAACCACCCACGTGACCTCCCCTCCCATTATTCCTCCACAAATAAACCCACCTGGCACCCCTCTTAATAATTCAACCATACCCACACACCCCAATAATTTTTCTCTGCCACCACCACTTAATAATCCCTCCCGACCCCCTAGAAACCGCAAACCTAATTCCAAATATCTTGGGGGACCTTTTATTAATATCACCACTGCACATCCCATTTCCCCGGGTCATACCCCTGCCACGGTTAAACTCGCCCTCCAGGACCCCAAATGGAAAGCAGCAATGGATGACGTGTATCTTGCTTTACAACGTAATCAAACTTGGGACCTAGTTCCACGTGGTACTCATACTCCCATCTCTTGTAAATGGCCTTGCTTTACAACGTAATCAAACTTGGGACCTAGTTCCACGTGGTACTCATACTCCCATCTCTTGTAAATGGCTTTTTCGGATCAAACGAAAAGCAGACGGTTCTATTGATCGGTACAAGGCTCGACTAGTGGCTCGCGGGTTTTTACAACAACCAGGCCGAGATTATAATGAGACATTTAGTCCCGTTACTAAACCGGCAACAGTCCGTATAGTCCTTACTATTGCACTTGCGCATAACTGGGAGCTCCGTCAACTAGATGTGAACAACGCCTTTCTACACGGCACTCTTTCTGAAGAAGTATACATGACTCAACCTTCGGGATATGTTGATGCTACACACCCGACACATGTGTGCCGCCTTCGCAAGGCATTATATGGCTTAAAGCAAGCTCCACGTGCATGGTACTTGGAACTATCTCGGTTCCTTCTTACTATGGGTTTTCATAAATCTCGGGCTGATAACTCCCTCTTTATTTATTCACACTCCAGCACTATATTATATTTCCTTGTCTATGTGGACGACATTGTCTTAACAGGGAACTCACCTGCCGCTATCAACTGGTTTGTGAAAAAGCTCACGGAAAAATTTTTTGTCAAAGACTTGGGGGCCCTACACCACTTTCTTGGCATTGAGGTAATTCCTACCAAAGAGGGCCTATTTTTATCCCAACGTCAATATATTCAGAATATTCTTGAGAGTTGTGGAATGGTGGGAGCAAAGGAATCAGCCACTCCAATGAGTTCCTCTCTCACTGTTCAAATGACGGATGGTTCTCCTCCTACGGATTCCACCAGGTATCGCCGCACACTTGGTTTGTTACAATACCTTTCGTTCACCAGGCCGGACCTTGCTTTTGCGGTCAACCGTCTGTCACAATTCATGCATAACCCATCCGAACTTCACTGGCAAGCAGTAAAACGAATACTTCGCTACTTAAAAGGGACTATTCATTATGGTCTTTTTCTGCGTTGCTCTACACCTCTTCATCTATCTGCATTTTCTGACTCCAATTGGGGTAATATTCATGATGAGGGTCGCTCAACAACTGCTTATGCCATCTACTTGGGTTCCAACGTCATTTCATGGAAATCGGCCAAGCAGAAGTGTGTTTCTCGGTCTTCTACCGAGGCCGAATATCGGGCTGTGGCAAATGCGAGTGCAGAAATTATTTGGGTACGTAATATTCTTCATGAACTGGGCATACCTCTTACATCAACTCCTACACTATTTTGTGACAATCAAGGGGCCACCTACGTCTGTGTCAATCCAGTGTTCCATTCACGTATGAAACACCTTGCACTTGATTTTTATTTTGTTCGTGATTTAGTGGAGCAAGGACAACTCAAAGTCTGCCATATTTCTACCAAGCTGCAAATTGCCGATGTTCTAACCAAACCCTTGGGAAAAGACATGTTCCAGAAATTTCGATCCAAGCTGGGAGTTTCCAACGGAACCTCCATCTTGCGGGGGCGTATTGGAACATAAGATATAGTTATACTATTATTATTAATATTACGTGTACATATTCTTATTTGTACTTATCATGTACTACAGTTGTACTACCTTAGCACTTATCTTATTCCGTATGATTAGCATGTACGTAGCTAGGTAGTTGTTAGGAGTTCTTATCCTACTGGCTCGAGTGATGTATATATATACTACCACAAGTGTACGTATTATATACGATCAATAATATACAATTCATATTTCTACATGCTGCATGAATGAATTAAAAGGCACATACTAAATTTGTTTTGGAAAATCAATCAACTCAAACGATGAATTCTTACAGTGTTCGGCTTATCGCTTTTCTTGATTTTGTGTAGTGTTTGTTGAGGATTCTTTGCACCAAGGTAATTATGTTGTCATCATGGAGTTTTGAAGAGATCATATTCTACAAACTGCTTATCCGGCAATGAAAATGCAACTTATAAAAATGCAAGCTACTAGCACATAACATTCCAAAAGTTTTGACTCACACTTGTGTTATTGAGACGATGAATTTGATAATTCAAGGTGTTGGAGATTTCTCATTTTTTGTTCTAGTTGATGATTCTCGTGATGTGTCAGTAAAAGAATAAGTGTGTTGTTTTGCTATATGTAGATAGTGGTGGACATGTAAAATAACGATTTACTAGAGTTGAGTCTCTAGTATCACATCAATTCATCACTTAATTATATTGCACTTGAGAAACCAATTGAGTTCTAGATACAATTTGAGCATATCTAGATTAAGAAGGCAATGTTATGAATGACAAAACTAGTACGATAGTAATATATAAGGGACACCTTTTGGGCTAATATGATTATTCTAAATGGGAACCCAAGCGAATATGACATTCAATATATTGTTCATCAACTCCAACTTGTCCTTGCAACTGTTGCAATAGACAATCAATTTATTGTAGAGTATTTTTATGTTGTTGCTCAATTGGCATAAGTTGTCAAAAGTTGCTATAAATGTTCTGACATTCTCCATGAAAAACAATTAAAATACATTGGTGAGTGACGTGCACTTTGTCGTGGTATGCACTCAAAATAATATTCAATACAACAATTATACGTAGTATAATGAAGTAAGGTTCGTATCCACAGGGAAAGGAACACTTCTCTTTTTATAGAAATAAATAAGTAATAACAGGGGTTTTTTATATTTGGTTGATGAACTTAAATTATATTTAAGCACGAAGATGAACGAGTTATGTGGTTTAATTAATGAGAAGGAGATTTGGCTTTGCTTTTATCCACTTAATGAAATGTTCGTCGATCCCGGTTATATCTTTAACTATCTTCCTCTCGAATACTCAATCGAGGAGTATATCCAGTTCATAGAGGGTAGTTATTAATAACGAGATGCGTTCATTAATAAAACTTACTATCGAGTCAATATAGAACAAGCGCCGTATATTAACTTGATAGTAGCAATAAACTTAAGATGAAAACGATTGAGATTGATAACCTCAACACAAGCGGTTTGTTGGTTAATCAATGTAATTAATTCCCCTTAGATTATTGACTATGAGATGCATGCATTAATAATCCAAGTTTACTACCGTGAAAGGACCGAATTAATAACAAGCGTATTAATCGACCGATTCTAGTATTAATTAATATATGAAACAAAACTAGTTGATCCTTTAAGTAATGTTCAAAATATTAATATGAAATATGAATAGGAATTAATTAATACTCAAGAAAGAATATTAAAGAAGATGAATCCTACTCTAGTTAATATCAAGATGTTAACTAATTGTCATCTTAGTAACACTCCCCGATATTAACGTAGAGGAAGAAATAACTATTACTATAACTAATGTCAAGATGTTAACTAATTGTCATCTTAGTAACACTCCCCAACATTGATATAGAAATATTATTTAAAGAAAGAATTAATATTCAAGGAAGAAGATTAAAGATAATAACTCACAACTTAGAAATTCATTAAGCTTCAAAGGAGCAAAACCAAGATGGAAGAGTTTAGCTCCTCATTTGGAGACTAAACATACTATAAAAATATAAAAGAAATACTATTCTAAACTGAGCTTAAGAGTATGGAAGAAGGGATGATTAAAAGTGAAGGAAAATGGGGCTATTTATAGGTGTTTTCCAACACCTGGG